GGCAGCTCAGATCACGTGGCTCTTTTCTCTTCACCACTGCCCTGTGACGTTGGCTGTGTCACCAACCCCGTTCCACAGACAGGCAAGCCGGGGCTCAGAAAGGTGAGGCAGCTGCCCAAAGGAGACGACCAGCAAGCAGCAAAGCCAGCATCCCGATCCGTGCATTTTCTGACTCTGTATGTCCTCCTACCATCACAGGCACTGAGCGTGAGATAAAGGCCCCGGCGTGTCAAGGTAGGCGTTCCTCCCAGGAACACCAGCGATCAGGAGGGATAAGCTTGCTCCTTCTCTCTTCTATCCTGAGGGGGAGGCGGAGTCTGGCAGTGAAGAGCAGACCCCAAGCCCACCGCAGACAGCACAGGCCGCTTGAAACGTGGCTTCCCTTTGTACGTGTGACAGGCTTGCAGAGCGCACAGAGTGGGGTGACCAAAATGACTCAGGAATAAGAGTTCCCACCCACGCTCCTACACTCGAGTTCTGTTTAGGTCTTCCTCTTTCTGATCCCTTAAAAAAGAAACGTTCCCATGAGCAGAGCCACAGATATTAACGGGAACAGCTACAGAGTTTTTGTTTTCATTTGAATCATGTTTACATTGTAAGGAAAGAACCCACTTTTCTGGGACAATGAAGCATGTTGAAACCATTAAAAAATATGCCCAACAGTCAGAAAACGTCCCATTTCTTGACAGACGTCAAGACGTGGGGTTCCTAGTACTGGTCTGCTAGACAGAGCTGGGGCTGGAGGTCACCTGGACCCCACAGCTCTGGACCACACACTGCCTCCTGGGACCTCTGTGTGACACTCCGAGAAGGAACACTGTTCCTGTTGCCCACTTTCACCTTCTTCTACACACCCACACGCTGGGGGCCTAGGCTGGACAGACGCTCCTTAGGAGACCAGGGCCCCGAGGGAGCGAAAAGGGGGGCCTGGGCACCCAGGGGCTCAGGAAGATCAGGAGCTCAAGGAGGCGATGAGGAAACAGAGCCCTGGGGGAGGCTGCCGGCGACTCTGTGAGCCTCGAGTGCTGAAGGTGCCCAGCCCTGATGGCACTGACTGGTGGGGGCGGGAGATCGCCCCGACTCTGCCAGCTTAGGGTGCATCAGCTGGGTGGGTTTTGCAGGTATCGATTTGTGTGGTGGAAATAACAGTCTGGCAAGAACTGTTTCCACATTCATGCGGCCAAGCTTATCTGATACAGCCCTGGGCTAAGGGCAGGGCTAAGCGCAGGAAAGTCCTCGGCAGCCATGACCACACACAGACACCTCTCTCAAGAAACGCCTTAATGCCCAAATCCCTCAACAGCTATGGCTTGAACTGGACAGACCAATGAAATGCATCATGTGCCGATGGATTTCTAGAATCGACTGCACTGTCCTCCTGGGATGCTGGGCTGTGTCCTGGCTACATTGGGCAGCCACCTAATTTCTACCTGCTTCACTCTGCGATCGCAGAGGCCTCCCAGCAGTTCCGTGGACATGTCTCACCAGCCGTGGTCCCGCCTTAGGGACACTGCCGATGCTCTACCTCTTCAGTCAAGATGTCACCTCCTCAGCGAGGACTTCCCTGCCCACTCCATTTCAAAACAATACCTCGAACAGCGCTCCCCAGCCTCCCTGCCTTCTCTCCTGCCATCCCACACACTGCAGGTTCTACCTGTGCGCCCGCCCCTCTGCTGGCCGTCGCAGGAGCTCCATGGAGGCAGGGACTGCGGTCTGCTGTTCACTGCAGAATCTCCAGTGCCCAGCACAGAATTGAGCACAAATCAGATGCTCAAATATTTGTTTAATAAAGAAATCGCTGTGCCGGGCATGTGATGGGCAAACAGAAATGGGGAAGGGTCTGTGCCCTAGAATGCTATCTGGTGCAGGACACCACCAGCCCACGCAGGGATGTAACTCCTGAAGTGATCGGACAGGTGTGTGCCTAAAGAGACTTCAACGAGGGTGCCGCCTCCAGCTGTTTGTATATTCTGCAGAGTTAAAACTTTCTTCGGCACAACCTGAGAGTGCTCTGCTTACTGAAGGCTCTACCACAGAGTATAATATAGAAATTATACTTCAGTACAAGTTACTGAAACCTTAAACTTAATTCACAGGCACTACAACAGAAAACACCTTAATTTTTCTATTCTTCAAGGTCAAAACAAAGTCTCATCTTTCTCTCTCTACCCCCCAGAAAACGGGGTGTTCTAAACACCCCATTTGAGGTGATGAGATGAGATGAGACGCCAATGAGATGAGATAGATGAGATGCCAATGCTCTTATAAAGACAAGTCAATCCTCTGCAAAGAGAGATCTTAAGACGCCCATAACCCACTTCAGTATTGATCCTCAGCCTTTTAACAGTTTAAGCTGACCACAGACCTCTGTTTCTGTTGGGTTGGCCAAAAAGTCTGTTACATTTTTTTCTGTATGATGGCTCTAGGAGCATTAGGTTGCCTGTAACATCATTCGAAGTGATTTTGTTAGACTGTCTTGTGACAGCTGTCATGTCAGCGTGTGTTTTAAAAAACCTTAATCAAAATTGGTGAACTTTTGTGCAGCCATTTTCGTATTGAAGATGGAAGAACACATACAATGTTTCAGCATATTATGCATTATTATTCTGAGAAAGGTAAAAACACAACTGAAACGCAAAAAAGATTTGTGCAGTGACTGAGAAGGCACCAGTCACGGAGAAGGTGCTGTGACTGATCAAAGGTGTCAAAAGTGGTTTGTGACCTTTCATGCTGGAGATTTCTTGCTGGACGATGCTCCACAGTTAGGTAGACCAGTCGAAGTTGACAGGGATCAAATTGAGACATTAATTGAGAACAATTCATGTTATACCATGCAGGAGATAGCCAACATGCTCCAAATATCCAAAGCCATAATGTTATTGGTAAAAATGGAAAACATGGCCAACACAATATACAGTGAAGTGAAATTGCGAAGCACCTCAAAGCAGGATCAGTTGTGCAGTGTCTCCTGGCAAAACAGCCACTTGGGTAGGAGAGGGGGCAGTGTGCTTTAGGGAAGGGCACAGATGCTCTGAAGAGAGGGCAAGTGGAAGGGAGAGCTGGGGAGGGGCAGCGGAATATCCACCAGGAGTTCTCAAGCTGCAGCCCACAGCCTCCGCAGGGCAGGCTACTCCACGTCCCCTAATATCTTCTCCCTTTTCTTCCTTCAATCAACTAAAAGTCATTTCCATAAATAGACTCCAGGTAGTTTCTCCTACTGCTCTTCCTTGGAACAAAGGTCACACCTGCCAGCCTGCTCACCTGGCCTGACTGGCTTAGTCTCTCCCCTAGACACACTCTTATCTCTCATGTTGGACTTAGTCATCCACCCACACCCCCACCAAAGCCCAGGGCCCCCCAAATTACAAAGCTTTCCCCCCAGTAGGCACTTGCCCAAGCTATGCTACCTACTACTCGAGTCTCAGGTTCTTCTTCACTGGCTTCCCTCCTTCCCCCAGGCCATACTCAGGGGGCCTCCTGGGGACCTCGGAGACAACTCACAGTAACCTACCAGCTCAGAGGAGTTAGGCAGGGAGCAATTCCACCCAAGTTTTCAGTCTCCCATCCGCCTACAAACATCTCAAGGGCAGGGAAACAGCTGTGTGTAGTAGCCCCTGGACACATAACTAGCATTTCATGAGGGCCAGCTTAGTGGTGTGAGGTTTGGACCCAGTCTGCCTGGGTAAGCTGGTGCTGGGCAGGTGGCAAGACCCCAGTCAATGGCAGGGACTCACAGGACTCCCTCCTTCCAGGCTGAGTTAGATGGTTACAGGCAGGAGGGAAGACAGAGACGCCTACTGCAGAGGCCTCAGAGGGTTACACAACTGGTAACCCTCCTCCCTTTGAGATTCCTTTTTCCACGACCTGGCATCACTATAACCACATTTCACCAGGGGAAGGACCTGGGGATGCCCCAGAGGATGTGCCAGCCCCACCTCCTTCCCAGGAGGCCAAGCGATCAGCAGCTGCCTCTAGGAAGGGTGGACAGAGATGTGGTGATCACCAGAAACCAGAAACCAGCCCACTGGTTTGCTACGCCAGGACGTAGGCTGAGTTAAGGAAGGTGACCTAGAAATAAGTCAGTTACGGAACACTGGCATGTCCCTCAGGGCCGAGTAATGTGCCACACACCTAGCCACCTGTGGAGGAGTAGGGCTGGGGAAATGGGGAAGGAGGTACACTGGTGGGTGTGCAGGGAGGAAAAGGAAAAAACGTCCAGGGCTGAATAGGGACCAGGTTCCCACAGCACAGACACGGTTGTCCAGAGACTGCTCTGCCAAGACCCTTGTCGCCCGCAGAGAAGCCACTGTGACAGCTACAGCTGGGTCAGACCTGCTGGCTCTCGGGGAGCGAGGGGGTAGGAGTGGCACACACGTCGGGCCTCCACAGCATCTCGGCTGGGAAGGGGCAGGACCTGCCCCCAAACCCCTAACTGGGCTGGCCCTCACTCTTGCCCAGCAGAGCCCCTCGGAGAGGTGAGGGGGACAGGGTAACAGGCTTGGCGCAGCCTCAAACTGCGGGAAAACTTCGCTCGCGCATAGGCGGCGTCAGGACTCGGCGGGGGCAAGCGCAGAGCTCAGCAACACCCAGCTCGGAGGAGCAGGCACGCTGGGAGCGGAGGGGAGACGAGGGGGTCCCAAAGTGGGTGTCCGGACAAACTAGCCCCCTTCGCAGGCAACTACATCCCCCTAGAACAACTTTTTGAAACTGCGCCTAAGAGAGAAGCGGTTACCTCTTTCCGCGCCTGGGAGCTAGTCCTGCCCACCCTCGAACCTGGGTGCAGGCAGAGGGCCCAGAGTGGGCAGCGGTTTCTCCGCCGTGGCCTAGCGAGCCAGGGTGCAGGTAACTCGACCTCCCCGGCCAAGGCCAAGAGGGCGGACACTCCCGGGACAGGAACTGGAGCCCGTGCTCCGGGAACTTCCCTGGCCCAGGGGCTGCGGTCCGAGCCAGGTGCGCGTCCCCAGAGCCCCGCGAGCCCGAGCCCTTCGGCCGCCGCTTACCTGGCTCCCGGGGGCCGGCGGGGTGCGCATCCCCGCTCTGGCCGCGGGTCGGTGCGCTGCAGCCGGGCGAGAAGCGGGCGGACGCGGGTCAGCGGAGTGGGAAGGGACGTGGCGGGCAGCGCGGAGGGAGCAGGAACGGCCCGCACCGCGCCGCGGCAGTTCCCTCCGTTCAGCTCCAGTTGAAGGCGCCGGCCCCGCCCCCACCCGCGCCGGTTGCCGGGAGACCCGCGTGGGCCGAAGGGTTCTTTGTATCAAAGCCGCGGCGACATCACAAGGCGCCCCGGAGCGGCAACCGAAAGGGCGGGGCTTTCGAGCGGGGGCGGGGCCTAAAGAGGAGGAAACACAGCCCAGGAACCTCAGGCACGGGGGCGGGCCCAGGTAGCCCCGCCCCCTAAGGTAGAGGCAGGTGGCTGGGGCAGCACTGACCTATGGTGTCGCGGCAGCCAGGCCGGACTCTAGGGCCATCCCTCCCTGGAGGCGCTTCAGCGGGTGGAGCTCGCCCCGGCCCTCTGGAACGAGTGCTGCAATGTTAAGCCCGCCTGGTTTGGGGCTGCCCCTGCCTTTGGTTTGAGGAAGAAGGCATCTGTAAACACGCGCCTGCCTGGCGGGCTCTGTGGCCGCTGCTGTTCATTCTACTTTACTCTCACTGTTTGTGGTCACCGCACTGCGAGAGTCTGGCCAAACTTTCCAGGCTCACGTTTGCGTGTACAAAGACCTAGCAACCTCAGCCCCCGACTTCTACCACCATTACCACCAGCAGCCTGAGTTTGGTGGCTCCTAAATTGATGTTTATTCTAGATCCCACCCACAACCTTCCCAGTTGTTTTCTTAGCAGAGGTGTCCCACGTGTGGCCCAGGATGGCTAAGAATGCGGCCCAATGCAAAATCGTAAATTTACTTAAAACTTTTCTTTTGCTCATCAGTTTTCATTAGTGTTTGTTCATTCAATGTGTGGCTCAAGACAACTCTTCTTTTTCCAGTGTGACCCACAGACTCCAAAAGGTCAGACACTCTTGGATAGAGTCAAAGTTGTCTTTATATGCAGTTGCAGCCCAGTAATACAACCAAGAGGCAACAAGAACTAAAACAAAAAGGGAAGGGCCCCTCCTGTTGAATTATATAGTAAATACATTATGTTGAAAAAGCTCCTCCCCTCATAACTCTTCACTATGCTCTGGATTAAAAGAAGGCAAAGATGCAAGCAGCAAATATTGTGAACATGGTTTCCCTTTGACTTATTGCATTGTTGTAACTGGGGAGGAGCAGACTTATCTTCCTATTTTCCAGCCCAGATGGACATGAAGCCACCTTCCCCTTTTCTGAGTTCTCACTGACCAACCAGGTAGCACTTTGGTACTGTCAAGGCCTGTCGCCAGCTGGATGCTCTCAGCAGCACTGACACACACATGCACACACACACAGCTTTTCAACTTTTCTGGCCCCTTCTCTCTGGCTCTCTGCTCTCAAATTTCTTCTCCCCAATATCTCTGCAAATAAATTCCCAGTCACCCCTTTGTTCACCAGGGCCTGACTCTAAGGCATCCCACTGGGGCTCTCCAAAAAGAACCGCATTAGCCAGAGGCAGAGCTCCTGGCAAGGGGTCCAGTGAGGGGAGGCTGGAGTGGGTGGGGCTGAGGTGGAAATTCTGCTGCCACTGCTGTGCCTTGCAGTTCAGAGATCCCTATATGGGGGCCACAGACTCCTTGTGTCAACCCACATAGTCCTAACAAGCAGGAATGCCGTGGTATATCATAAAGAGCCCTGGCTTTGGACTCAGACAGACCTGAATTTGAATTCTATTTGCCATCCGTGAGTCCTGAGACAAGTTATGTAACCTCTCTGAAACTCAGTGTCTTCATCTGCAAAATGGGAATAGCAGTGTCTGCCGCGTTGGTTGTGCTTCCTGGCACAGTGGGCGCACTTCATTTTAGGCACTCCTCAAAGGTGTGGTACAGGAATGGGCCCATGTACCCTGGGCCTGCTATATATGCCTTCCCAGCTCCACCCTGAGACCTTAGTTCAGCCCCCTCTGTGAAGTTCAGGGGTGTGTTGGAGTCCAGGGGTTCTATCTGGGTTTCCCTGCTTCCCTTTTGAGTCTCATGTTGCCCCTAAGGACTACAGGGCTCCAGGAGGCAGGTCACATGACAGAATCACCCAGAACTGAGAAGAGTGGCAGAAACCCAAGGTAAGAATTGCTTCTCCTGGTATTGTTCCAGCAAAAGTCAAGGGAGACAGCCGGCCTTGCCAAGTCCCCTCCCTGCCACCACCAAAGATAGCCTGATTGACACTTTAAGAGCTTTACAGAGCAGGGGTGCTAGTGGTCCCCCTCTATTTTTCTCATAAGTAGTGGGACGGGAAGTGTCTCCTGGTATTTGCTGTGAAAAGCAGCATGACAGAGAGGAAAGTCACAAGACGCCAGCACAAACGCTTCTGAGTCTGAAGCCTGCCCAGTTGTATGGTTTGTAGTGGGAAAGTCACCTACTGCTTCAGAGCCTCGGTCTCCACCTCTACAAAATGGAAAGAAGACCTTTCCTCTTGCAGTTTAAATGAAGTGATAAAAACAAGTGTCTAGCACAATGCCTCCCATGCTGCAGGCACTCAATAACTAGTGGCTCCTAGCTGTTGCCAGCAGCATGAATGAGCCCTAGTGTGGCTCAGTGATTAGATGCATGAGCTCCGGAGCCAGACCCAAAGGTCCTACCTTGGCTTCAGCCCCTGTAGCTGGATGACCCTAGGCAAGTTTAATTCCCAGTGTCTCCGTTTTCTCATCTGTAAACTGGAGATAGTATGTATTTAAGGGTTGTTGTGAGGATAGAAGTAATCAGGACTCATAATAAAATAGGACCTGGCACATAACAGGTGCTCAATAAACAGTATCAATTACCATATGGCATGAGCCTGGGAAGAGCTGAGGTGAGGATTAGCCCCTGAAGCAGCTTGTGGCAGAATTTAGGACTCTGGCTTTGGGGAGGAGCCCTGACATCTTTCACGGGATCCAGAGAAGCAGTGATCAGTTCTTTTTTTTTTGGGGGGGGGGGTGGTCAGGGGAGGTTGTGTCTGAAAAGAAATGTGGGAACTGAGGGCTCCAGCCCAAGCCAGGGCTCCCAAAGGACTCATTATCCCCTATTCGAATGCGGACGAGAACTCTTAGCCCTGCTTCCTGAGCACAGCTATGAGCCTGGGGGCAAATGGACCCCTGAGTTAGCTACCCTGATCCTTTAGGATGGGTGTGTTTCAGATGTCATAGAATTCAACCATTTTAACCTAAGAAGAGTCTCTGGGTAAATATCTAATGAACTCTTCCCCATTTTACGGGTGGAAAGACAGAGGATCAGAGAGGGCTGGGAATTTGCCCAAAGCCACACAACGAGATATATCAGACAGGCAGGGACTGAAACTCGGGCTCCAGACTACAGTGCAGGCCCCTCCCCTTTCCACTCTGACTGGGAAGCTTTACTGATGGGGTAACACAGGCGGGGCTTGGGGAGTGGCAGGGCGTGGGCTCCTTCACAGTGCTCAAGAGTCCCCCGGGGGGGGGGGGGGTCTGCCTTGCCTTTTCAGGAGGAGGAACCATCTCATTAAAAACAGAAACTCTCTCCCAGGGAAGGATTCAAGAATAATTTTCAGAGGGCAAGTCATGCTGATTAATTTTCTTAATGTCACAAAACTGACTCTGCCATTGTCGATATGGGCATGCACCCATGATGTGGAAATGCCAAAGCCAGGGAGAAGCAGAGAGAATGCTGACCAGCAGGAGTTACTATTGTCTAGAAACTGATGGGGACGGAAAACACGCGGTCATTCGGGAGATCCAGGCGAGGGAGAAGAACGGAAAGTTCTCTCTGTGCCAGAGCTGCCTACCTATGTCTGTTTTCCCTCTGCTGTCACCAGGCAGGAGTCAGCTCAGCATCGGCTGGCCGGGGCAACACGGAAAGGTGGGCTAAGCACATGTGGCGTCATCATAAAGAAAAAGGGCTCTCTGGTCATGACTAAAGCATTAACATTAGCCAAGCAACTGACACCAACCAAGATTAATTAGCCAACTGAACAAACAAAAAACAGCTGCACAAATAACAACAGTGCTAAAAAAAAAAACAGCATTAGGTCCAGTGGTTCTCAAACAGGGTTCCTCAGGGTTCTGTGGGAACCCTGCAAAAGAAAGGAGACGCTCCCAGTGAGCAAAAGCTCCACTTCTGTCCACTTCACACGTAGACTTCATGTGAATAAAGTAGTTACATATGATGTCAGGTGAACAAAGGGCTCTGTGGCTTTCAAGGTATTTCAGATCACTGGTCTGGTATGGCTGACTATTCCTTCCCAAACAGGGCAGTGAGTCTCGGGGGTGGGGAATGGCCTTCCCTTCCCACCGGTGCAGAGTCAGTTAGTGGCAGAACCAGGGTTAGGGTGGAGCCTCAGGACTTCGTCCAGTGCTGGCCAAGACGGGCCTCAGTCCTCAACTGGGATTGGCAACACCGGTCAAACCCTGTCACACGGAACATCATTTCTGTCCGGCCACAGTGTCACCAGCAACTGCTCTGTGTGTGGGAAAGCCTTCCACGCAGCTGGCTCAGCTTTGCCGCGTACACTGTCTTCCCACTTTGCCTGTTGAGGGCCCTGAACTCCACAGTCAGGAAACGTCAGCCCTGGATGTAGTCTCGGCTTTCCACCCCAGAGGACAGCGTCAACCTCTGGTGCCTTGTGCACTGGCTTCGGAAAGGGACACAAGCACTAATGAAACAGGCAGGGCCCAGGGGCCGAGGCCCAGGGACCGAAGAGGCCTCCTGACCCGGAGAGGAAGTAACTCCCAGTCTCCCACTCAGAAAAATGGGCAGGGCGCCTGAATCCCAGAGCCCTCCCACTCCAGCGGGTGCTCGTCCAAGGGCCCTGCACTGGGCAGGGAAGAGGAGGGCACCTGGGACCATTCCTTCCTCTGGAAGCTGTGAGCTGGATGGCACGTTGCTGAGATCCCTTCTCGTTCTACAGCCCCAGGCTAGCTTGGGAACAGACCCTGGACCCGGGTCCGCATCCTGAGAAAGGAACCCCCTTTCCACTGGCAAACACCTCGGTGTTGGTGAGTGTCCTTTGGCCGAGGCGCCGTCAGCAGTCTGCCCCTGGGGCTGGGCTCCCTCATAGCGTCTGGCTGGACACTATGCAGACGGGTGGGACCAGGTCTTACTGACTCTGGCCCCAGACGAGTGTTTGGTGAGGCCGAGCTCTATTTTTGTCAGCCTGCGCACACAATGGAGTTTCTTACTCATGCACACCCAACAAGAGGGAAAATGGTGAG